GGTAGAAGTTAAAGTGCTATATTCCAACTTTATATTGGATACTGCACACATAATAGTGCTGATAGAACTTGATTGAGTTGACTGACTGCCATGTCATTTAGCCAAATATTAGCCTTAGATACCTTTCAGACATTTGTACCCTGAAAAATAATCTGGAGAATCTTGGGTACAGTTCTTGGTGCTTAATCAAGTAAGCTGAAATAGGTCTATAAACTTGCACACTACTTTGTTGTTCTTAACACAGCTAAGAGAGTTTCCTTCTTGTATCTGTTTTTCAAACTACTACCTACTATGAAAGTTTTGCTGTGTAAGAAGTTGCTTAATGTGAATAAAAGGGGTAATATGCGGTGTTGGAGGTGTTTTTAAACAGAGGTAGAAGCTCTTTCCATTTTATTGTGGTTATCATTGTTTATTTAATGTGTTTTCTCAATGTAAACCTTAATGGTGAGATCAAAGGCAGTTATGCTTGCTGTAACTTCAGAACACAAATCCACAAAACCAACTTGTAGTTACAAATGCCAGCCTGCAAAAAACCTCACACTTTCTTCTCAGTGTGTGCTTGTCAACACACACATTCTGTACAATGTGGTAAGACACTTTTAGTTAACATGTGTATGCAACCAAAATAGATTAAAGGCATGTACTGAAATTTTTAAGACAGTACAGACTAAACAATCAGGAATTTAAGGCATGTTAGAAACAGGAAGGGAAAGTAATTGTGCTCATTTATTCAGTTTTAAAATGAAACAAAAATTATTACATAGCTTTCTAATTGACAGAAATGGGTCTTTTGAAACAGTAAGCATACAAAAAATTGAGTTCAGGAATATGAGAAAAGCAGTCTAAGTTTACTAAAAGGAAAAGTAAGTACAGTAGATTGCCCCACTGTATTAGCATTTGTATAATGAAAGTTCCAGCAGTCAGCTGCTTACTATACAGTATCTTTAAAAACTTTAATAGGGTGTTGCTCCTCTGGTCTATGAGAATCCGGCCTTTATGTCCTTAGCAGTGTCTATGTAATTCCCATTGCATGGGATGCAAGTTACAGACTTTAATAGATGACAAAACTGTCATGCATTCAGAATTCTGGTTTAACTAGCTACATCCCTTGCTGGGACCCTGCAACATGCTCTGCTTTCCATGCAATATGCTAAGCATTCTCACATCATGGAATCTTAGGTGTTCTAAAGAGCACTGAGCAAACTACCTCGTTTGTGTCCTGAAAGGTTGGCAATTCCTATTTTGAGTCCTTATTATTAAAATGAGTTCTAATACATACTAACAATCTTGCAGTTCTGCAGTGCCTATTTAGCTAGCCTAAAGAACCCCTGGTGAAGTCCTAACACTGCTGCCAGATGAAAAGGCAAAAAGTAAATTTAAATGAATAGCAGAAGTCAGAATCATTTTGCATTAACCACTGGCTCATGCTCTATCCCTTAAAATGCATTTTTTTGTTCTTGTTAAGATTTGCTTTTGCCAAGCTGTTGTTCAGATTCCTAGTAATCATATACAGGTTGTTTAAATTGTCCTGTTCATCATGCAGTTGATATGTAAACTGACTCTTCTTGTATTAGGGTGTGAGAATGGTAGCTGATGCCTCCCAGCTGCTGGGACAGACAAGGCATTTCATCAGTTTCATGAAAAATGTTCTGTCCTGTCTCCCGCACTCCCCACACTGTTCTCTCCAGATCAGCCTTCTTCCCCCTGAAAAAAAGAGCAGCTAGGGGACATTGCCTAAGATCTTATTCCCCTGCTGCTGACCCAGCCTAGACATCAGTATTGGGGTAGGATATGTCAGCTTCCTCATGGCAGAAGGGAGTGTAAAGCAGAAGAAACTGAGCTGAATAGCTCTCAGGGGATGAGAAGGGTGTATTACAAGTTGCATACTTTAAACAAGCAGAATGGAATCTCTTGGAACAGGCGGACAGATATTAGCTGCTTATTTTTGTCACTTACAAGCAGTAAGTATACCAAATTAGGGAAGTTAAACCAAGTTTGAGATAATATGAAAGTCAGGGCAAAAGCAGACTGATCAAGTAAGTCAAAGTCATTAAAAAAGGTCCAGCAGAAAGTGATTGGGTCTCAGAAGAATGAGGCCAGCAGCTAATACAAAATAAAGCAACCCACTTTCATAGAAAAAAAACCAACCCACTTTCATAGACAGATAAAAGCATATGATAGGGCTCTTATTTTAGTGCAGCTGATGTACTTAAGAGCCGTATCTTAATCTGTCTTTGATAACTTTGCTGCTTTAGATATACCAGTGGGTGCCTCTGGCTATATGTAGTCTAAAGGCCAGCAGTCAAGAATAAAGGTGCAGGACTGGTATTATTACCTGTTTGTTACAGGGTTTTTTTTGCCCTGTCTTGAGGGTTAGAGAAAATAGCATAAGGACAGCAACGCTCTTAAGTCCAGGCTTTTAACTGCTGTGCTTAGAGGGTTTTCAGAAGGATAGTCAAACTGCCTTCAGAACTACTTAGGGCCATCTGAGCAGCACAATAAGAACAAGTACCTGGCCTAGTACCGTTCTGTTTTATGCCACTAAAAGCCATGAGGTGGTGTTCTTTTCTGTCTTATTCATAGACAGGGAGATGGAGTGTTTTATGGTTTCTTCCCTTTGTCCCCCATCTTTGCCACCTGCCATTGGTGAGGGTTCAGAGGTCAGAGACTCACATGTTGAGTGAGACAGCCTGAAACATCTGTAAGGTAAAAATTACTTTCAAAAAGCAAAGCAAAAATTGAATGTTTCGGAACACAGAGGCATAATTAATATTAGAAGTTACATAACTATTGAAAAAACATGTCCCAAGTTGCAGTTCAGTCAGGTAAAGGAAGCCACAACAGTTATCAGAAATTCTTTTAATCATACCAACAATCACCCACTATACACAAAATACCAAAATATACTGGGTCAATGGGTCATCAGGGATATTGACTCTCTGGTTAAGGAAACATGGTCAATTCAGAGTCCATCATCTACCTAAATTCTGAAAAGCAAACAGACAACTACAATTTCACCTAATGTAGGTAAAAATTTAGCGCAGGATCATTGATCACTCAGAGAATTTGATGTAAAAAGACCACTAAGTTAAGAAGCCTCTGTCCATAGTTTTGTGGCTATTAGAGTGGTATTTGACTTCATCAGTTGATAAGAAAGTATGACTCATGTTTCAACTGAATGTTACTGAGTGAGCAGCTGGGGTTGCAGGGACTTTATTGTTTTGTCCTTTAGATGTGAGTAATATGAAAAATGTTAGAAATAATTACATTTCCTTTAAAAATTGAGAAGATCCACCTGAAGTGTAAGTTTAGCCAAGGCCACAAACTTATGTGAGTTTCAAATATACATAATATCTTATCATACCAAAGCATCTCAAGGCTCTTTATAGATGATCTACAATACACAATACCACTGTTTAAATGAATGAAAACGAGCAGATCTTTGGTTTGAGAGGCAACAGCCAAAATACTCAGCAACAAAAACAAGTAGCAGAGACAGAATGTCTGAAAATGGAAGAATGAAACAAGGTCAGTAAAGAGTACCTAAGGCACCTTGTTTATAGTCATCTTTGCTACACTCCTTAAGACCTCCAAATAACATATAAAACTGTAAATGCCAAGGAATGTGAAGATGAAACAGCTGAGGAGTCTGAAGATGAAAGAGCAGACGACAAAATACATTACTCTTATTCATAGCTGAAATACTCGTGATCAAAGGATGTGAATAAATATATTATTTTAAGTGATAACAAAAGAGAAGAATCAGAGCTAGGAAAATGAATGAAAGGAGGAACCAGTACCATTAAGAGTAAGTTCATTTGATATTCATGAATTGCAAGTCAAAATGAAGTAGAAAAGAAGCCTGGACTCTGAGATCAGGATATGTCCTTTTAATGTCTAGTGCATTTCTCAGTCTCAAGTACTATAGAAGGGGGAAATATCCCCCTTAATTTAAAAACTAAAAGAATGAGAGTCCAGTCTGTACTTACTTCAGGAATATGCACTGTACAGCAGGACTTACAAAACTGTCCTGGCAAAAAAACAAAACCCAAAACAATAGGCGAAGGAGAATTCCGAAGAGGGATGGGAATTCAGTTTATTCTGCAATAAATATTTTTAATCACCAACTTAGTTGAGACTTTCATCATATGCAGTATGTAGTGGGCTGGGTAATATAAGCTACATCTGAGGATAGACTGGTTAAGTTTTGTTTAGGCCACTCCTCCAGCAAATCAATGCCAGTTTAAAAAAAAACAAAACAAAAAAAGGGTGAGGGGAGAATTCCATTACCACTCTGCCTCAGTACAAGATGGTTTGTGAAGGTGAGTCAGCTGTATTGAGTCGGTTCCCTGTTCTTATACTAGGAAATAGAGCTTATAATTAAAGCTCTCTTGAACATAAACGGCTTACTATGTGTTTGCTGAACTGGGTGCAAGATGTTCAGTCAGTTTCCAAATTTGTTCCCTCCCTAGTACTAGCCAGACGGAAATTCATCCCTCTGCTTACTTTTCAAGGGGAAAAAAAAACAACCAACAAACCTCTATCCATTTCAGTCTCTGGCCTTATTTGAATACAAGTTCATTTATACACACCTCTAAAAGTTTCAAAACACCATGAGAGACTGGAAGCAGAAATTGCCAAGAAATCTGTAGGTTTCCGAAACGTAGGCAGCAGAACAGGAAGTTAGGTTAGCTGAACACTTCAGGGGATATAAATACTTCTAGGTTGTTGGGTTTTTTCACATAGTTTTGGGACTATCAAACTAAAGTCTGCAATAGCCAGAAGCCTGCTTACATTTTAATGCATGTTAAAAACTGTACAACAGCATTTAGTGTTCATGAAGATGATTGTTACGCTTTTGGCATTTTTAGGAAAGCACATCAAGCTTTAAAGTAGAGTAAGACTACTGTCTTTCAGTACCTAGATTTTGTGCTCACAAAGTACAAAAAACCCCAGACATTTTCCTCACTGTCTGCTTTTACCTTGTGTTCTCCCTTCAGGTATGGCCCATTTCCTGTTCCCTCGGAGCTACCTTTGGCTATGTGGCTGGTCTGATTATTGCACCTCTGTGGATACACTGGAACCGGAAGCAGGTTACATACAAAAGCAGATAACTGGAGCAAAGAGAGACAAGGTATTTCTTTGTGCAGATTCCATACAGACTGTGCAAAAGTTGTTTTTTAAAGATATATATATATATATAGTCAAAGCAGAAGACTGTCCAAATTCAGTTAGAGTATTTCAGGCCAAGCATCTCCACTCAATAAAAGCACATAGATGCTGTTTCCGCATGGTGCAGTTTTTGCTTCCTCTAGACTATGTAACCCTGAGAGATTGTACCTTCCAATCTGAATAAAATATTTGTAACAGATGTGGTGGCTTCTTATTACAAGTTCGTTGAGTTTGATTTTGTTCTTCTGGATTTCACTGGTTGTAGAAGGCAAAATCATAGGTTTAGCTTTCAAACCTGTAACAAATTTCCTATATACTTAATGCATTGTATTTAAAATCAGTAGAATTTCACAGTAAGCCTGGCCATTGTCAAATGTCTCTCACGTGATCAAACAGCAGTTTATGCATCTTGAGCCTATTCTCTTCTTCACTGTGTGTTTCTTTGGAGTTAGAATGGCTATAATAGCTTCATCAAAAACGGTCTTCAGTCCCTTCTGTGTTAAAGCTGAACACTCCACGTAGCAGTAGGCTCCTATCTGTCAAGAAAATAAGTTAATTCAATAGCAATGTATCTCAGCTGTTCAATTGAATCTGTGCACTTCTGCTTTCTTCGTTTTCCCCCCTATGGTGACATTACAATGTTTGGTTGTGATCTAGAAAAGTTATCTGCATGTGTATCCTCCAGTAGCAGAAAGTAAGATTTGTCTTTTGGCCAAAGATCTGGAAGGTATTTAGGTTGGTCAGTTTGTAAAGGAAACATTAAATAAGCTCTTTAGATCAGTAGTGGGCTCTTAAGGAATTTTTGATAATTAAACAGCAAGAAATAATTCCATGACCAGTTTGTGGTTCAAAAATAAGAGTCTGTGATTTTAATTAGTTTTGACTAATGCTTACATAGCTTTTGCAAGTGTCTACACAGAAAATGAGAACTATTACTAACAGGGAAGTGCAGTTACACAGGTCTGCTTGTTACCTCTATTCAGCAATGAAAGTAAATATTATTAACTGGTAACCAGTCACAAAGTTTCATACATGGACTGGTAAAAGAAATGGGCAAAGTGGAAAAAGAAGAAAAAAATCCAGTGGAAATATTGGAGGGTTTTTTTTTTTCCTTTGTTATTTGGTTTCATTTAGTTTACCTCTTTTGCTAACTTCTGTCCTTGCTCCACAGATAAGGGCTTCTCTTTCATGTCATTCAGTCTTGCCAGAGTTTTCGGGTCATCACGAAGATCAATCTAGCAAGAAAGACTGGAGTCATGTTGGAATACTTTCTCTAAATGAAAGTCAGTAGGCAATATGATACTCTCTCTTTAAAGAATTATTTATTTAATGGAGTTATTACGTCTATAAAAATGGAGTCATGTGATGATTCAGATCGTGGACCCTCCTTGATCCAAAGGCTCTCAATTTAAGCTGTGAACTACTACATTTCATCCAGAAGCAGCAAACATTTTTCTGTAATTCAGCTCCTCAGTTAGATGTGATCATCTCGGAATACCAAAATGTATATCCAGCAGTGGCAGAAAGATCAACTCAAACATAATACCAACATGTGGGTCACTTTGTAATTCAAGCCCAGTCCACAGCCCACAAGAAGCAAGAGGAAATTGTCTCACTTCTCCTCTTGCTCCTTTGCTTCAGCTAATATTGCATGTGACTAATAATTCCAGTAACATGAGCAGACAATTTTATTCTGTAAGTCCCATGATTTTCTAGAAAGTCACATGGAGACATGCAGCCAATCTTGCCACCCTGTTTACAATGGATATAACAAGGGGTTTTAACAGAATGGAGGTAGCTCGTTATAGAACACAGATCTAGGTTTTTCTGCCACCTCTAAGGTTTTTTCCTCCAAAGGCAGAAGGAGGTGCTGCTCAGGTCCTGTTGGGCTTGAATTTCCAGCCCAAAGAAAAGGCACCATACAATGATCTGAATTGTTTATTAAATAAAGTAGAAAAGAACCAGATATACCTGTGTTCCTACTAGCAAAAAGGGAACATTAGGTGCATATTCCTTCAACTCCGGTACCCACTCTTCCTTCACATTTTGAAATGAAGCAGGGTTTACCACTGAGAAGCAGATAAGGAAGACATCGGTCATAGGATAAGATAAAGGTCTCAGACGATCATAGTCTTCCTGAGGAAGAAAAATTCTGTTATCTGCAATATTAAGTTGTTGCCTGTATTTTGTTAATTTTAACAGTTATATTCAGAAACTGTATTCGTATTTCATGAAAGCTGTTGAGGCAAACTCTGTGAATGTTTACAACTATTCTGGGTTAGTTAGTGTGGCTGTTAAAAATCTGCATACGAAGGCAACTATACGTGAATATAAATATTTGAGAAGTGTGTTAATACTGACGGAAACCTACTTCTGTATGAGAACACACAGAAGGTTAGTATTTGTAGAGAAATAAGCAGATGTGAGTGCTGTAGAGCCATCCAGGTTATTAAGGTTATTTAATGCACTTAAATGTTCTATTTTGGATCTTAGGTAGAGGTGGTATTTAATGCCCTCCTTAGAATATTTTTTCTGTCTCTTAAAAACCTTACAGTCCTGTTGCTAGTGATCAGGGTAGTAGGAAGGATCAGAAGGGACATCTTTTGTCTAGGCTGTGGTTTCTATAAGCAAGCCCAGCAAAGGGTTAGAAGGAACAGAAATTCAGGGTCAAGAACACTATCAGGGGAATATTAATGCCTTTGTTTGAGGTGTGGGAGGAGTTAGTGTGAGAAGATTATAATTTGGGTCATTTAGTGCCACAGCCTTTAAAGCCACCAGTCCTACTGCCAGGACATACAACACTGTGGCAAGGCAGGTACCTAGGAGCACTGCCCTTACTGTAAATCAGAATTCTCTCTAGCAAGTGAGAAAGTGGATTTCTGCCATATATTTTAGCTAACAGCCAGAGGGAACACGTCCCAGCTTCTCCCTGCAAGGCTTCCTTTGGTCTTTGGCAGTGAACATCCCAGCTTCTCTCTGCGAGGCTTCCTTTGGTCTTTGGCAGTGAACCAACGCCTTAGCATCCCTACCTTAGATTTTTGGGTTTTTTTTAAACATTGATAGCTAAGACTTGAGCCCAGGCACTGCAGAGACAGTGACGAATGCTGGACTTAGTCCTCTTCTTCCACAGTAAACACCAGTTTATTACGGCTGCTGCAGCAGCCTCCCTCTTCCCCATGCAAGCTTCCCATCTTAATTCAATCTCACAATGTAGAGAGAGAACTGTAATTCAACTCCATGTTTGAAACAAGCCAGAATATTAAATTTTTCTTTCCTTGACAACAGTGATATTACCAGACTATCAACCTATAGTCAAACCATTAGAAAAGCTCTTCGTTGACTGTTAGGTTTTAAACATGGTGTCACTAGAATTTCAGCAAACATGTGAGAACTTCCTCAGACCAGTTTCTGCTAGAGCCATCTTTCCCTTTGGAAGTCAACAGCTATGGGAGGAAAGCTGTTGTTCTCATCATGCACTGGAGAAAAGGCAGGCACAGGCAGAGATTCTGCACTAGCAAGGGGGTGACTATTGACCTGTACTCTCCAGTGTCTGTTTACACAGTGTTCTTAATTGCAATCAGTATTCTCGTGTGTCATTTTGAGCATACATTCTACTGGCAGGTCTGTATACATGTTTGTCAGTAAGTCAGAGAATGCTTAATTGTTAACATGGGTTCCCAGTTTCACAACCACAGTAACTGGACACCACTGTGAAACTACAGTGTCTGACAGTCCTTTTCCCTGCTAGTGTCAGGCTCCTGCCCTCATTCAAAAGAAAAAAGCAAACCAGCAACCATGTCTTTTCCACGTGTGCAGACATTCACCACAGAAATCAGAAATGACTTCAAGAACATCACCACAGCAAGCTGAAACTCTTCAACACACTTTTTTTTAAGCATGTATTTTACGTTTCACTTCTAGTACTGAATACAGTCAGATCCTCCTCAGAGTTGCCACTCTGTTTTCTGGGGTGGACATCAGAATCCTAAAAGAAGCTTCCCAAGTGCAAATTACACTGGTCCCCGGAGTACAAAATCTGCATGCAGGAACACATGGGCAGATCCTTCAGTTCTCAAATTCAGTTCTGCTAAATCATAGGTGGGGGATTACTGAATAGGTTTTCTTAAAAAAAATAAATTCTAATTTAAAGTTGTAATTTTTTCCTACCACCAAAGAGCTGTCATCACTACACTAAACATTTTCTAAAAATCTCCAATCTGGATGGAGAGATTGGTCCATTAACCTTTAAATAGCTCTTTAGTTAATCCATTTCAAATTACAGATGGACATTTTCTTCATAGCAAATATTAATCATTTTTTTTATGTCAAAGCCAAGTTATGTTTCCATGGTTTACTTCAAAACTTGTGTATTTAGTTTATACTTTTAAATCCCACTGGACAAATCCTTGTCCATTTAGCCACATCTTGGTACTGCATCTTACTTCCCAAGTATTCACCATCAGTCATCGGGGAGTGAGCAATGTTACTACTTTTTAGGATATGTGTATTGCTGAACTCCTTACCTGTTCCTACACCTGCTCATGTTACTTTTGATTTATACCCTGTCCCATCTGCACTGGGCAAGCTGTGGGTCCATCCAGTGTAATGAAGAAGTTAAACTGAAGACAAGTACAGTGTGATTGGATACATCATGTACTACTGCCAAAGTGGTATTTGCTACAGTGGCTTCGCTGCATTTATGCTTTCTTAAACAAACAGAGAATTTGGCTATACCCACCAGTCCTGCTGTTTGAAACATGTCAGTGCTATCAGGTTCTCCTTGAAACCTTGTCTGAGCATACTGATACTAACAGTGGCAGGTAGTTGTAACAACCACATGATTAGACTGGTCCTGGGTCCTCCTGAGAGAGACCCTGCTTAAATGTTCTCAGCATCTAGTTTACATCTGTGCTTAAAAGACTCCTCCTGCCCTGCAAAAGCCCTTTAGCAATAGCAATCAAACCTGTAAATCTTCTCTGATATATTAGGCCTACATAACTGCTGCACTTGATAGAAGAATCTGAAATACCAAATTAATTTA